TTGGAAGAGTACATAGTTGTCGGTTACTTGGTCATCATCGATCTTCAATGGACTAATAAATAAGAAGATAAAACTTTACATGATAATTTACAACTTCTCCATGTTTTACTTCTCAACAAGAAGAAAGAATGTAGAAAACATGACAAACAATACCAGACCTACTTTTAACCTCAACCCCATCATAAATCTCGCATGAATTCATCAATCCCATTATAGTATCATCCCAAAATCCTACACACATACGTTTTACTTCACCAAAGAACTCACATGGAGAAGAGAATACTGCAACTCAAAGATGAGGTTCTATTGCAGCATCCATATCTCATAGTTCTTGCAGTAATTTTAAGCTTCATCATTATGGATCCCTTTCAATTAAGTCCAGTAGGGGGCCATGACTTTAGGCCTGTAAAGAATGACATTGCATCATACCAGGAAGTCATGGAGAGTTGGCCCAGGGACAACCGAAGCCGGTTGGGATTGGGAAACTTGGAGTTCAAGGATCAAATTTTTGGCCCCGAGTCGTTGGAGTTTGATACATGGGGACGTGGCCCTTACGCTGGACTTGCTGATGGCCGTATTGTACGGTGGATGGGAGAAGATGTAGGATGGGAAACATTTGCACTTGTAACGCGTAACTGGTAATCATTTTTTTCCTACCATAAATGATTCTCAAGTGCCTATATAATGTTCTAACATGGTCTGCTTTTTCTTACCGTGTCCTAAGGACTGAGAAGCTATGTTGTAAAGGTGTTCATTCAACTACACATAAGCAATGGAAGGTCGAGTCGAAGTGTGGGCGTCCCCTAGGCCTTAGGTTTGACAGAAAGAGTGGAGATTTGTACATTGCAGATTCTTACTATGGCCTACTGGTAGTGGGACCTGAAGGAGGCCTTGCCACTCCTTTGGCAACACACGTAGACGGGAAGCCTATTCTTTTCGCAAATGACCTCGATATTCATAACAATGGATCCATATTTTTCACTGATACTAGCAAGAAATACAACAGGGTGTAAGTTCATTGAAGTGAGGGTTGAAATCTGTTAATATTTTACTCGTATGAGGAGCTACATGTGTTTTCTTTGGTTATTGCAGGGACCATTTCTTCATAATGTTGGAAGGGGAAGCCACTGGTAGACTCCTTAGATATGATCCACCTACAAGAACAACACATGTAGTATTGGAGGGTTTGGCATTTCCAAATGGAGTCCAATTGTCTAAAGACCAATCCTTTCTTCTATTCACTGAAACAACTAATTGCAGGTTTAGACTCTTGTTCATCACATGATTGATTTTTCATTAATTTTCCAGAAATGATATATATAAGCAGAAATTCATTAAATTGCCACAGGATCATCAAGTACTTTTTAGAAGGTTCTGAAAAGGGTACCACCGAGATCATAGCTGACCTTCCGGGATTTCCAGACAATATAAGGCTTAACCAAAAAGGTCAGTTTTGGGTAGCAATTGATTGTTGTCGGACTCGAGCACAGGAATTTCTTATTTACAATCCATGGTTGAGGAACATATACTTCCGACTGCCCATTCCGATGAGGTATTTGGCCAGGTTCGTGGGAATGAGGATGTATTCTATGGTATCACTCCTCAATGATAAAGGAGATGTATTGGATGTTCTTGAAGATAAAAAGGGTGTAGTGATGAAGCTAGTGAGTGAAGTAAAAGAGGCAAATGGGAAGTTATGGATTGGAACAGTGGCCCACAATCACATTGCCACCCTCCCTTACCCTCTTCAAGTTCATTAATTTGTTCAGAAACCTTGGCCGCAATCTGTATCTGTCTAATCATTTTGGTTAAATAGGTCCAGCTGAAGAATAACGATGTGACAGTATTAATGCTTATTTTGTTTTATTTCCTCTAGTGTTGTTTTTCCAAACAATATGTATGTGCCTAATCATTTTCCTTCAACAAAAATGTTGTTTGCATAGGAGAATCAGTTTCAATGTCAACAGAATAGAATTCCGAGGGGGGCAGGGGACAGAACAGAATTCTAAGGGAACTGAGGTAGCAACTTCAGTTCAAGAGGCTGCCAAGAAATACCCTAGCAGATTCAAATGGCTGACCAACTCATCAGATTACGTACATAAAAGACGACAGCAAATAAGTATCAAGTATCTAAACATGCATAAAAAGGCTTTTCTACATTTGTGTATGTGCGCCAAAAAGTATGAGAGAGAGAAGCCAAGAAAACCACAATAATCAAAACGAGTCAACTAATAAAGGAAATTGTTAATAAATTAAGAAACTGACGTCAGGACGACAATAACTTAAAACAAAAAACCTTCACAATTTAACCAATTAAAATTCAATAGGCTGCCTAGAGAAAGTAATATCCTTTGTTCGGACCTAAACGGACTAACTAAAAGAGCAAACCTAAGATATATAACAACCAGCGAGATTCCTGACATACACTAACCTCCCAGTATCCGACACGTCCATTTCAACTTCTAATCCTTTGATGATGCATCTGGAGCGAGGTCCTTTTGAATATGGGAAAGCATCGAACCTCTCAGCTTCAAATCCCTAGCTTGTTCCTGCTGGTGCTGCAACTGTTGCTGCTGTAGTAGTTGATGCTGCTGAAACTGATGCTGCTGTTTCTGAGAATGAATCTGGAGCTGCTGTAATTGTTGAGCAGTTAACATTGTGTGCATAGCATGATTGCTGGGATG